CGTGAGGCGCTTGCTTGGGAAGTCAGGGGACTGACGAGGGTGGGGTCCATCCCCTCGGTACCGGCATGAGGTGCGGCAGCTGCTGGGTGACCAGGTCCCGCAGCTCGGAGGAGGTCAGTGTCTCCTTCCCGCCCTCCACCGAGTACTGGTGGAAGTTCTTGATGAGGGTCTCGATGGCCCTCTCCACCTCACTGAACTCCTGGGCGTCCTGCGGGCGGCAGACGTGAAGCACATCAGGGAGGCTCCTGATSCCCGGGAGCTCGGGTAAAGCCAGCAGGGCAGAAGACAGCTGGGGTGGCCCTGCCCGCTCCAGAGCCCAGGACCCAGTCCCTCTCCCTCACCCGCACCCCAGCCCCCAGCAGCTTCTGCCCTGACCCAAGGGTTGGGCAAGACTTTCCTCCCGGCCACCCCCATCCCCGGGCAGGACGGGTCGCAGCACGTGGGCAGACACCCTCTTCCCAGGAGGAGTCCATCCCATCACCTTGTGTGGGGTTCAGGGARGGATCTCAGGCCTCACGGACGAGGTCTGGGTGGAGGGCAAGGCCGAGGTGAGGGGCAGAAGTCYGTGGGGTGGGAAAGAACAGGGAAACAGGCCAAGAGCGGAGGGGCCCACCTCAGCATTGGCTGACCGACACTGTCCCATGGTGCCTGGAGCTCTTGTCCCTTGGTGAGTCTTGTCGTCCTAGAGCCTGACCCAGCAGAACCGATGGATCATGATCTGCCTGGAGAGAGGGGACCTGAGGTCAGGGGACACTTCTGCTTTCTGTCTCCATGACCCCTTTTGGCTCCACCCAAGATCTTCTGCCTCACCCCCGGGGTCAGAGGAAACCCCAGACAGACCCAGTCCCTGCCCAGGGCCCAGGAGATAAGGCCACAGTGCCCAAGCCSACCCATTTAGAGGTCTCACCTCAGTCTCACACCTCCAGCCACCCACTTATGCTCAAGTCGCATGAGCTCCCRGACCCAGTCCCCAGCCCTCCCTTGGGAGACTCAGGCAAGAGAGGCTCAGGGTGCTCCCTRTACAGGAGAAAAGCCCTGGGTTTCCTTACCTGCTGGCAGCCGCTGAGACTGGACGGGAGGAGCCAGCTCACCTCAGCTGGGCTCTTATACCTGGGGGAAGGGAGGGGAGCAGGGGGCTGGGCCTCAGAGCCACCCCAGCTCTTGCAGCAGCCTGGGCTGGGAGCCAGCTGTGTGGGCCCCACCCTCCATGGGCCAGAGCTCCAGAGCCAGTCCCCACCCCTGCCACGAGGAGGGAGCCCTGGAGGGCTGGGGCTGGGACACCCCTGGCCCCAGATCAGCAGGCAGAGTCACAGGGAGACAGGGAAGGAAGGTGGGGGAGGAAGGGAAGGGGGACTTGGAGAGCCACGCCAGGGAGGTGGGATGACCTGGGGGAACCGCGAGGATCAGAGCGGGTCTCCATTAGTAGCCAGGGAAGAAAGAGAAGCAGGGGCTGATGTGAGGTTTGGAGAATGAAGGTAGATGTAGAACTTGAAAGAGGTCTGCAGGGAGCCTCCCTGTACCTTTTTTTTTAATATTTATTTTTTAGTTGTAGTTGGACATGTACCCTCACTTCACTCATTTATTTTTATGTGGTGCTGAGGATGGAACCCAGGGTCTCCCATGTGTGAGGTGAGCACTGTGCTGAGCCACCACCCCAGCCCCCTCCCTGTACTTTTGAGATACCTCTCTCTCTGCCCGACTTCCCAACCAAAGCCAATAGGGATAGGGACCCTCAAGCCTACCCAGACCCCAGAGCCCAGCCACTCCCAATCCTGATGGCTGAGACATGAATGAAGAGGTCAGGAGGAAGGACCAAAGAAGGTCAGCAGCCTAGGACGGGGGTGATGTACACCCCTGTAATCCCAGCAGCTCCAGAGGCTGAGGCAGGAGGATTTTGAATTCAAAGCCCACCTCAGCAGTTTAGCAAGACCCTAAACAACTTAGTGAGACCCTATCTCTAAATAAAGTATAAATAAGGACTGGGGATGCCAGGTGCTGTGGCGCAGGCCTGTAATCCCAGCAGCTCCAGAGGCGGAGACAGGAGAATCCCCAGTTCAAAGCCAGCCTCAGCAAAAGCGAGGCACTAAGCAATTCGATGAGACCCTGTCTCTAAATAAATACAATATAGGGCTTTGGATGTGGTTAAGCACCCCTGGATTTAATTCCTAGCACCAAAAAGAAGAAGAAGAAGAAGAAGAAGAAGAAGAGGAGGAGGAGGAGGAGGAGGAGGAGGAGGAGGAGGAGGAGGAGGAGGAGGAGGAGGAGGGGCAGAGCCTGGTAGAGAGCCACAGAGAGCATTGACTGACTTCCTGTCAGCTCCCTCAGCAGCCCAGACTGCAAATATGCAGGGCCCAGATGGCAGCTCACAACCTCTCCAAACTACTCGGGCTGCAAGTCCGTCCCTCCCTCAGAATCCCACGCCCTCCTAGCCCCCCAGCTCCACAGCAACCCATGCCCTCTAACCCAGTACCCAGGATGCCACCCCAGAGAGCCTTCACTGTACTTCTGGGAACTGAGCCCAACCCAAATGTCCCTCCTGACCTTCCCAGGCTCAGGGGCCTGGAACCTAAAGTCATGGGGAGGGAATTCAAGACAGGCAGTGGGTCCGGTGTGGATCAGGGCAGAGATGGGGTGGGACTCAGAGCCCTTTCCCCACCTCCCTGGGTCAACTTCTCCTGAACTTTCAGCCTTGATGAGGGCCCTCTGTAACTCGAGGCCCTTCCACAAGGGTGTCCAAAGGACTTGGATTCAGGGACCCCCTTCCAGGGTCTCTCCATCTGAGAGCTTCCCTGAGGAGTCCATCTGAGGTCCCTCCTAGAATGTCTTTGCCCATGGCCCCTCCAGCCAGGAAGTCTCTGAGGTCTCCGTCTGGTGCTCCTTCGACGTGACGTCTTCATCGGGGATCCTCTTTTTGGGGTGTATGATCAGGAGCTTGTCTCAGCCTCAGTGTTTTTCTGGGCTACGAGCTGCCCCACATGGGCACCTGCAGGTACAGCAGAGGCAGCCCTAGGAGGCCGTGCTGCTGACTGGCCCGCCTCTGCTCTCTCTGGTGGCCGGTAAAGCACACCGCATGCCCCTCARGCCAATGCGAACCGGGAAGGCAGCAGCACTGTCGGAGGTTCTGCTTCCTTCAGTACCATGGCCCCCCACGCCCTACCTCACCAGTCCCTCCTCTGCGTGCCCGCTGCGGTGGAGGGAGGCTGGGATCTGAGGTCTAGTGTTCCCGGGGCCTACCCACGGAGGACTCTGGTAAACCAGGGGCTCTGGAATTTCAACCCAGTTCTGCTTGTCCTTGTCTTTGTGATTTAACCTCTCTAAAAATCCATCACCTTTTTTTTGGGTTCTGGGACCCTTTACTACTGAGGTACAGTCCCAGTCCTTTCTTTTTTTTTTTTTTGAGAGAGAGAATTTTTAATATTTATTTATTTAGTTTTCAGTGGACATAACATCTTTATTTTATTTTTATGTGGTGCTAAGGATCGAACCCAGCACCCCGTGCATGCCAGGCGAGCATGCTACCGCTTGAGCCACATCCACAGCCTCCTTTTTTTCTTTTTGTTTTTTTGTGGGTTTTTTTTTTTTTTTTTTTTTTTTTTTTGCAGACAGGATCTCACTAAGTTGCTGAGGCTGGCCTCCAACTTGGGATCCTCCTGCCTCAGTCTCTCGAGTCCCTGAACCCAAGCTCATATCCTCATCTTGAATATAAGACTTAAAAATATTACCTACCTCGTGGGGTGTAGTAGTACACACTTAAAGTCCCAGCTATTCAGAAGGTTGAAGTAGAAAGATCACAGGTTTGAAGCCAGCCTAGGCAACTTAGTGAGACCATGTCTCTCTCAATCCCTAGTACTGCGAAAGGAAGGAAGGGAGGGAGGGAGGGAGGGAGGGAGGGAGGAAGG